GAAAAGTCTATAAAAGTTTTAAAATTAAAGCTTATAGAAGTTTACAAAAGATTTTCTTTAATTGCATAAAAATCTAAAAACTTCCACAAGTTTCACAAAACTATCACTTAAGAAGTCTATAAAACCCTTTGAGAGTCACAATTGAATACACACAACTAGTCAAATTTAAATTTAAATTTGGGATTGGTGTGGGGATGTATTCATATGTAGCACTTTTCTTCTCTATTCTTTTCTTTTTTTATCTGTTTGTCTGTTAAAAATATCAATTTGTAATTAAATTTTAAGGCTTCATTTGGTTTAAATCTCAATTTCATCTTTGCCTTTGCCTAGATATCTTAATAACGGGTTGGTCATTAATGAATAATGTTACTCAAGATATTGACAAGATCATCGAAAGGTCTATATATGTGTACTTACCATCTATATCATACCACCATTTTCCTAACAAAAACATTAAATTTCATCCCTTCAACCGTTGTCTCCAGCTCCTATCCTCTCGTGTCTCCCTTTCCACTAAGTCCAACAAATATTGAACTTTCGATTGATTCCCTTCTAGAATTGCTGCAACACAAAAAACAAAATCATAAAAATATTAAATCTAAAAACTACAAAAATATTAAATTGAAAGAATAATATATATAAGTATTTTTAACATATATGCTATATTATATTATGATTATATACTCACAACGATGTTCAAATAGAATACGCCATGTTCATTTAAAATCCTGCGAAGTGCAGTTAATAACATTTGAACATTAGAAATTTTTTTCTAGGATCAGCACACGGCTAGAGTTGACATCAAATCTTCAATCGATAATTGCTCCAATATATTTTTCAATATATTTTCTAGCATTTGACTGTCATCAATTTGTATTAGTTAAAAAACAGATTAACAATTTTTCATAAAACTAAACAAATATTGAAATCGCTTTATAGTTGTAGATTTTTCATCAAATAAATTCTGCAAACACCAATCTACATTTTCTCAATCCTCCCTATACATTTTAACACATTAAAAATTTAATGCAAACCAAAAATAAGTAAAATAGCACAAAACATTCAATAAATCTATAAAAATAAGTAATAGATAAATAAAAATAAAAAGTAGAGAACAAATGGGTGGGCACATTTTGAGTATGAAGGAGAAAGCAAAAATATTACTCACAGAAAAAATCAAATATAAGTCTATATTGAATACCCTGCTTCCATTTTGAGTTTCAGCAAAAAAAAAAAACATTTATCTCTGCAAAAAAATAAAAAATCAATAAAAAAAAAATAAGTTGAAAAATCATAAT